ATGACTGCCCACGGTATAATTAACTTAACGCATACAGTGACAACAATCTGGTACACACAAGGTAGCAGACACTGGTAGGATGTCGTCCTCAGAAACTGAATACATTGGTATACTACTAGTTAAAGACTAGGTATGTTACCTGTATATTATCATAATAAAAGCCTCTTATATATTCTTACTTCCGTGATATTACTTACAATTTGCTAATAGTGTCGCTTGTCCTAAAATACTTATGACTATCTTTAACTTTCCCTTCCTCGGTAGCAGCATTCCAACATTCCTCCGCTATCCCAGTGTTTGTTCAATGTGTGATCCTGTTCTGTTAATCAGTAAATATTCGGTCAAGGTTTTCTACCCCTGGAACTTCAATCTATAATTAACAATGTGTTACAGTTGTTGACATCACGAGCTGATTTCATCTATGATTAAATTCTGTCAGCTATGATGGAAGATATTTCCACGTAAATTAAATAATTGTTTATATACCTTTTTTGTTGTTTGATGGAACACATATCGACATGTACATCATACGGTGCAAAACAAATGGAACAGCTGTTTTGTTCTCCGATATATTTGTGGGGTATACTAATGTAAGCCCGTGTGTGTCTGTTTCTCCTCTAGCTTATGTTGTCTTTCAGAGACGATGTTTTTGTGTTCGGCTATATATCTCGCGTGGTGAGGGCGTTGGCTTTCATTTATGTATCATTTTAGCTTGTAGCACGAATACGAAATTTACGAAACCTTTACAAAAACCATCCACATATAGCATTAAACAAACAACAAACAACAAACAAAAACAAGCATGTACATGAATACATCTTTTCTACGTTTTCGGAAATGAATGCCAGAGTATTTTGTATATGCATTTTAATTGATGTTTTTAAAATGATATTTGAAATCCGTTTTGGCATTTTGCGAAATGATTACATTTATTGATTTGGCCTTGCTGTCAACTGATTACCCGTGTTCTAAGTCCCATCACGGTTATTAATGTTGAAGTTAATTAAGAAAATGAGCAAATCCAGTGACGGCACTCATTTGGAAAATTGCATCCCAATTGGAACCCTAAAACAAGAAAATTCTCAAATTTGAAAAAAACCGGGAGTAATTTACAGTAAAACCTTGTTTGTCGGATTTGCCTCCACGCAGAGGAATCTCAACCAATGCTTTTCTATCGGTACATAGCTGCTTGTGATTCGCTTAAGTCAATATTTAAAAGAATACGCCGATAATGTAGAAGCCCCTAGCTCGTTGATAGTGGCATTGCGGCCGTATCTTTGATTCTTTATTAGAGGGAAAGTGTCGACTCTGAGAAAGCACGGCTTCATAGAATGGCTGTGAGAATGCGTGCCAAATGCATCGACTTCCGGTTAAATGGAGCACCTTCCGATTGATGGTCGATTGAACTTCCGGTAGTTTGCTGGTATGAGACAGTATTGTTTGTGTATAACAACTGAAGATGATAATTTTGAATCCGAGCTTAATGGATAGTTTAGCCATGGTGGCCATGGAGGTTGTATTGTAACATGTAGAAACAGCAGTCCATATTAATTAGTTGATACAGAGACGTATATATTATATACGTCTCTTGGTTGATACCCCTCTCGCTTACACACAATTGTATAGGAAGTGACGTTATACAATTGTATAACGTATATCATGTTTGATTGTATGGTTTTACCTGAACACAGGACATAGGTTGTTGATATATCTATCTTTACACCCGAGAGACGTACGCCTGTCTAACCACATTACAATCATACATACAGATAGCACCAGTATTGGGAGTACAGGTGACATTAAACGATTTATATTTATTTTTTTGTGAATTATCATGTACTTCTTGTCCTAGTGTGTGATAATAAGGGTTACAGTTTGGTTTTGCTGGTATGAATGTCCTAAAGGATGAAGGAACTGAAGATTTCTCGTTGTTATTGGCGAATTAATCGCCCTCAGAATGCTGACAAACAGCTTATACCACTCAATATTGCCAGCTTTTGTACACAATTATCGACCAGGTTACGACATTACGTCACTTCCTGTAAGTAGCTAATTGAGTAAACTTTTTGATAGCGAGGAAATGAGCTTTGCGATACGCCTCCACGCGTCCAGGACCGTATCATATATATATTGCTGACACCGTTTGTATCAGGTTAGTTAGCTGGTATAGTGCCGCCTTTTCTATCAAGTGGGTTTATTTCAAAGCTCAGAAATTCAATTTTCGTTCATCTTTTTTTATTTTCATCATCGATATTTGTATATAATTTGGTTTAAGCTTACAATATCAAACCTCTGCATTGAGGGAAACACGTTAAAAAGAAGCAAATGCAACTGGTTGAGTTGATGATTTCAATCTTATTGTCATTTAGGTTCATATCTTTTGCTGCTCTGCTTGGCAATCAGTACAAACATCACGATGACACTATGTAGTAACAAACCGTTCCTTTAGTCTCCTTAACCAATAGTTTTGATAAACAAGAACATCCGCTGACCGGTGTTACCTGGATTTGTGTCTCGGGCTGATTCGGGTCCGGTTGGACACGTATTTCGAGTTGGATTAAAGTGACTGACCACCTACTTTAATATTGTTTCATGTTTCTGCTAGCAAAGAGGAATGTCACAAAACAACATATAAGCAAGATACGTAAATAGAATATATCAAAAAAAAAAAAATCAAATTTAAGGCGACGTGCTATCTTTCTCTACCGTGGTGCTGTATAAATGATTATTTGTATTAAGTTCGCAAATTGAAGGTCGATGTTAACGTATGCCTAACTATAAATTCATTTGCAATTGATAACAAAAGAGGATCTACAAATATACATTTATTTACAATATACAATATCTATATAAGCATACTCTTTCACACTCACTAATAACTCTCATACAATTCTACATTGGACATATATATTATGATTTACTTACATCTATAAATAGATAAATTTATATATTATATTACACCTAAATCCCTAAATCTATAATATAATAAATAGTCTTTGTAGATTCCCACACGAACAGATCACAAAGTTCCGTTACTGTTAATTTCAATCCCATCTTCTGGCAAACACAATCAGTAGCCAAACACTCTAGGAATGTCCTCCTGGTCAACTGGCAGATGACATCTATGGCTGAACTGTATCTCAGCTGCTGAAGTCACAGCTGCTGTGTCGGAGTTCAACTCCACTCAACTATTACCGGGCCTCCATCCCACAGTATGTCACATCATGCTCCCGGCCTCCATAATAGAGTACTATGTCTCCATATCTAGGGAAAATATCTACCAGTTCCCTCTCTGGATAATCATATCCATATGTATAAGTCAGTTCATAAAACTGCTGTCTCAGTGCCTCGTAGGTGGAAACCATGGACAATAACACCGTCGGCCATTCCGGGTTTCCATACTTTTGTCCTCAGACAAAACTGACAGGTCTCTCACTGGGAAATAAGCTACAAAATATAAATAACACTAGTAACTACATAATTCTACACTATCATGTTACATATCTATAATATACGCTTTAAACATATTACTTATACAACATTCTGCAACATGCGTAAACACACCACGTCGCTCACTCATCTATGCTCAATCGTATATATTAATGACCACACTAACATTGATATATTATTACATTTGTATAATATCATTGTGACTTTGTTTATTATAAATAAATAAGCCCCAATGATCCTAATTCAATATCTAAACAACTACCACACAAACCCATTCGCTCTCACTGCGCTCCGTACAATTTCGCACCTGTTTACTATTTGGAAAATACCGTTTATTACACGATCAAACATTCACAGAATCAACATTATAACTCAGGAGATACACACAGATCTATCGATGATTAAAATATAACTTACCGTGAGCTGTATTTCACGCTAACTCCCGAATACTTCACAATAACAGAAGGAGTAATGAAAACAATGGTCACGCTATTACACCTGCCTTTCACACCTGTCCAAACAACTCTGCGCGTGCCCAGGTAAATATAAAGTTCGCGCGCTTTTCTTTACCCGCGAAATACAAATACCAATAACCTACCTTTCCTATTTAATACTCGATCATACTTACCGCATGGAATATAAAGTAACCTCAAATGTCGATATGTGACAGTCGAGCATAAATTAAACTCGGGGAAACTTGACATAAGAAGAATACTCTATTTTAAAGGGGGCTAACTCACCCATAACACAAACCAAAAGGTACATAGCTCCAACACAAACTACACAAATACTATTTAAGGTGAATGATTTCTCGGGAAATCAATCCAAGCGCAAGTGTTACGTTTTGTTTTAATTTTAAGAACATTCTAAACTTGAATATTAAAAAAAATTCTTAACATTCCTCTAACATATTTTATCCTTACGCCGAGATTTTCACTAATCTAAACATAATGTGCATTCCTGATACAACATGTAAATATTTCACTTCTGACATTTAAATAAATACTCTCCATGAGTAAATCGGATTTCGAGATTAGAACTTGCATGATACCCGTAAGTGTTAAGTCTGCCATTAACAAAGATGTACCTCGTGGTCTATTACAAATTAAATTTTAACCTCTAACCTTGGCAAACAACCCCTGTTTTCTATTTTCCATTCAATTTTGTACATGTGACCTTGACGAACCTGGGTGTATATCACAAATCATATTCTATTTTTACACTGACACATACATTGTACGTTTACTTTTTCGTGTATCCTGTTTGAATTTTAATGACCCAAGTTGATCTATTCCGTCTTTGCATATTGCAGAGTTATCTTCTCTTGGGAGCAGGTATTGATTGTTACGTCACTTGTTTGTGAGAGTAACGTCATCAATTTTTGAGAAAACGACGTAATTTTCTCACACAAGCCAATGACGTAATAATCAATACCTGCTCCCAAGAGAAGATAACTCTGCAATACCCAAGGACGGAATAAGCACCTCATGATAATTTTCTACATTAGTCAATTTTACCTTTAACTTTTACTCATATTCTGTCTTTTTCAGATTCCACAGATAAGTTACGCCTCGACGAGCATCGACCTAAGCGATAAGTCCCGATTTGAATACTTCTCGAGGGTGGTTCCTCCCGACTCCTTCCAAGCCCAGGCGATGGTTGATATCGCGAAGTCATTCGGCTGGACCTATGTCAGCACCCTGGCTGACGAGGGTAACTACGGCGCAAAAGGCATAGGAGCTTTCGCTGAGATCTCCAAACATCACGGTACGTAGTTGTTTATGTTGCTACTGGGTTTTTTCCTGTGAAAACCTGTTTTGGATATGTAAGTTTGTGTCAATTACATTTATTCTTGTCATTGAATGTAAATATTTGCTTTTGCAAGATCTTGGATCCGCTATATTTGGTAACCACTTCGATCATGCGAAAAATACAAGTCATGAAAAACGTTTAGACTACAGAATTAATATCTGGTTAATTCAGTTGTACCTCAGGCTTTGTTGAAACATTTCATTGCCGGCGTGACATCGTTCGTTCCTTCAAAAATGTGGGAGTGTGATCGCTATTAGTATTTAATGTATTCAATCAGAATTAGATCGTCGAGCTATGGTAGTTACGCAATGCATTCGGTTTGGAACACATACATTTTCCCTATAATCACGTTTGACATTTACGTATCGGAATGCAAGTTTTTCAAATTAAAATTTAATTTTTCAACAATCACCTTTGCATTGATTTATTTCATTCACAGAAACTCTTTTTGGGATGTTGAACGGAATGAACAGTTCGTAATACAATTTACGTGCATATTGAAAGTAAAAAGTATTCTATATTTTTTCTTAAAACATTTAACAGCTGTGTTTCATCTATAAATGTACTTTAAAATTTCCTGCGCGAAAATACGCCCATTTGTATCGTTGCAATCTTGATCCATTAAATGTGTCTGCACGTGCATTCATGCTATATATAAGTATCTGAACGTAAGGAAACTCTTCTCTGTCATCAATATTGCGGCCGTCTCGACCCAGAGGTAACACAGAAAAAAAGGCTACGTGATTTAAAAACAACACATGTTTATAGAAAAAAAAGGAATAAAAACCGAAACGCTACAATGCATGTCCGAATGTTTCCTAACACAAACTGACAATTGCATGCATTGTTTTACGTAACGAAAATTGGAAACGAGTCACATGCACATTCGCACGTGCGATTGCCATGTTAATAATCAGCCTTCCTTTCAATCTGAAATAACAAATGGTGATAAACTTGATTGTGTGATCGCGTGCAAAACCCGTTTTCATATGTAAACGTACATTTTCTCGCGAGTTGAATGCTCGGGGGAGCTCCATGTTTGCGGAAATCTCGTGACTGTAGCTGTGTGTTACCGGTGACCTTGTATTCCTTCGGGAAATCAAATTACATAAATTTTGTTTAGCTTCCATGCCTGAAAATAATAAAAATATAAATATATATATATACTAAAAATGTTATCGATTATCGCGATGTACGGAACTGCTGTGGGACTAAATATACTGCCACGTGCGCATGTGTGTTTTACGACAGTAGCACGTTTGGTCCGGCCTGTCTGACTGGGTTTTGAAATAAAAAAGATTTTTGTCCTGTTCAATGACTTGTCATTAATTACGTCAAAAACAACATCGCTGGTTATTGATGACTTTAATCAAACTAGATTTACAACTGTCTTGTTTATTCCACGAAAGCCACATCGTGAACAACGTATTCTTAAGGCTTGATATTAAATCGCGTTAACGTTTACTTATTTCATCTGATATTTATCGACTATGTGTACTATTTTTTTTCAACAATGATTCTGATGTTATAAAGAAACAAGGGTCAGTTACTCAAAATTCGATTAGCTTAAACAGCTTACAGAAAGTTAACGTAAATAGATCATCTACTATATTTCCAAATATACTGAACTAATTCAATATGAATTGATAGTGACCGAAACTGCCGAAATTTATTAAATACATGTACATTAAAATTTGTAAATTTTCAGATTTCCCGTTATTGCCCTTTCTGTTGTTGTTGTTTCAAACATTATATTTTCAAAGATTGCTAACAATCGTTAAGCTAGCCAGACTTTGAACGATTGACACAGAAAATAAAATCTCGTGAAAAATATGTTTATATTGCTAAATACAATTCGTGTATTTTTTGCGATAATAAGGTTTATATATATATTACATTTAATATGCTGATGTGAAATAAACATATTTTACAATGTATCAATACAATTTAGCAGAATGAGCTTGCATGCAATACAGCATTATTATAGTATAACGGCATATTAATTACGTGTAAAACAAGGTATGAAAGGCAGCATACATATATTCCCAGTATTACGATGACCTTCAGATAATGTCATCTTGGTACTTCATCAGTGACTGATCGCCATCATATACACTTTTCTTTGTCTAAAGTAATACAATAAAAAAAAATGATACCATTGGGTCCACAAGATTGAGTAACTAATTGGAATCGAAAATAAAGCTACCGCGAAGAGAGATTTCCAGATAGTATAGGTATCAGATTGGGATATCCAGCTCGCACGCCGAAGTATTATCAGAGATGTTTACGTGCTGCATGGAGATAATAATTTCCTACTGCCAAACGTAAATCAATCGATAACACATGTTTACGCAATCATGGAGCGTAACCTAAAATTGCTGATCTGTTGTATTCTTTTGAAGACATGTACTATGGTAATGTTTTCTGTCAGGAGATAAAGGAGAGAAAGTGCGGCTGATCTCTACCGATCGACAGCTATATTGTAATCGGAAACTCTACGAAAATAACAACGTCATTTCAGTAAAGCAATATCCAAATAAACAAATAATTTTTAATGTAATGTGGACGATCGTTAAGCTTTTTAGATAATCACCCTGACGTCGACATGCGCATCCTGTTGGGACGTAAAAGACGACACCGAACAGCTATGATGTGCATTTGTTAAAAAAAAGTATTTTACAACAATTATGAAACAGGTTTTACAACTTATATTGATCACTCTTGTTGGCCCGGATGTTAGCGCGCAGGGGGTTTTAATGTGGGGGAGGAAAACAGAGTGCATGGAGAAAACTCGCGTGGTTTGGCAGATGACCCTATACCTTTTCACGTCCGATCGGGGAATCGAACTCTGGCCGCCGTGGTGAAAGGCAAGTGTGCTAACAACTGCGCCACCCGACTAACCATTTGTATACACGAACATGTATGACACTAAACCGCCCTGTCGAAGACATCGAGACAACATTTTTATTTCTTCTTTGCGAAATAAAGGTTGCCACTGTTAGGCATATGAATGAAATACATGTTATTGAAAAATTCCGTGCATCTTTTGATTTCCATGTTTTAAACAAACAAGTCAAATATTGAAAATGTAAATGTTAATTAAAAGCGATAAGAATAAGCCAGAAAACAGTCAGAAACAGTTATATTCTTTTCAATATTCATGAAAAAGATATGGTATAGAAAAATCGAAAATTGTGTAAAATTTAACTGTATCATTGACTCTCCCCAATATCCGCAATTTGTCTTTGTATAAGAAACAACATTTCTTTCAAACAATGATATGGTATGTTTTATTCCTAAGCCGTCGATCAAGTACCAGGATTTGTGCCTGCGTGTGCGTTCTGGTACAAGCGGAAATGAAAAGCACTACACACTTAACGGCGCGACCTCGTTGTGTGTGTATTCAAATCCGATATTATTTTCTTCAATGTCTTTAAAAATCTTTTTTTTTCTCACTCAAAAAATGACCTTTAGTGACGCCTATGGCCTGGATCTGTTAGAGTTAAGTAAACAACAGTACTTACAGCATAAATACGGTTCGCTTGCAATATTCAGTATATGCGTCATACAATCAGCTAAAGAACGTACGTAGTTACAGGTCTAAGAATGGCCTTAAAGAAGCAAGATAGATATAACCTATTACATCACCATTACAAACATCTATACATCATATAAAACACCATTATAACAATCAGCTTGACAATATTTATAATGGCACCATTACAATCAGCTTGACAACACTTATTATGTCATCATTACAATCAGCTTGACAACACTTATTATTACAACTTAGTTTCAATCGGTTTTACAACACTATTGAAAGTAATCTTATTGGGTGGATCGGGGTGGGCTATTCCTACACAAACCTTATGACTAATGTATAATGTAGCATACAGTATTTAGCAAAAGTGTCATTACATAACAGCGCATCAGATTACTTTAGGTTTAATAGAATGTTTGAGATTTTTTACGAATTTCTGATGATTTCCGCTTGTCGTAACTGTAGGATGGATATCCGATTCCAGCGTACATAATGACAACTGGTAACTGTATGGAAAGCGGTAGATACAGACAGACAGACAGACATTCTTTATTTCCTCTTTTACAAGAGATTAAAATCAATCAATACATACATATATGACATGTTCACATATCAAATAACATAAAGATAGAGTTCATCAATAGAAAAAGGAAGAGAGTTACAATAATGTGTCAATCTAACTCACCACTCTTTCTAGATTAATTGACAAATTGATCCTCAGATTTTCCCACTCGTAGTTTCCTAGTAGTACACGTTCTTCCAATAAGAAACTGCATTGGTTTTCATCCTCCAAGTTTGTAAATGAAATATAGGAGGGAACTTCTAAAGCATTCACCACACCATCCATCATTAAGTCACGCGTTTTAAACAATTACGGACAATCATGCAGAAAATGAAAAACAAAATCAGCAGTAGATTTACCACAGAGTTTACACAATACAATATCGCGTTCAAATATAAATGAATATTTCACTAGTTCTATAAACTGCCACATGCATAATGCGATTTTTGCTTGATACTCAGTTCTAATATGGGGTTGAATCCCTGATAACTATGTATGGCAGAATAATGAAGCAATTTCTCTTTTGTAGAAGGTGTATCTCTCCACCGTATATGATAGAAATATGTAATATACTTTTAATAAAACGTTTACAACATAATTTTGGAGGTACAAATATGTTGGTTAAAAAGTCAATTAAGAACGATTTTATATTAAAATTCTTCATGATGCTGAACACATTTGGAATAAATCCTATGTGTACATCGGACAGTTCGCCAAACATGAACTGACATAATATAATAATATACAAGGACTTTCATACAAACTTTTCCAAACCACAAATTATTCCAAAATAGCATTTTTTTAAAATTTCTACCTCACTCTAGATGTTAAAAACTCCTAAGCATTGTGAAG